AATGCAGATTGATTATAATGTTGAGGAACTTTCAAATTCATTAGCAATTGGCAAAGATCTACATAGCAGCTGCAAATCAAATTTGCAATTCAATAACACCCAGATGCATACATATTTAAGGAAAAAACGCTGCTCTATAAACTGATAGTTAGTGTGGCCAACAACATAGACTTATATTGGGGTATCTTTGATCCAGTTCCCCGCTATATCACAAAATTATTTGGGTGAGCTTAGATCAGTCAGACTTTTTCAGCTCAATCCAATGAAATAAAATTAGGGGTTTTTTTCAAGTCTTATCTGAAGCTGCATCTTCACTATATAAATATAGATAGTGAAAAGTAGAAAGCATTTCAAAAAGATAGGTGGAATTGGACCCATATCTTTTTTGGGGGGGGAGGGTAACATCTTTTACCACATTGTTGGAATTATCTAACTTCTGTGCTGTTTACAATATTTTCATTTCTTCTTTTTTATTGTTATAAGCCTCCTAGAGTAGCCCCATGGCAAGATAGATGGCAAATAAATTTAACAAACAAATAAATTAGTTAGAACAATTAATCAATGGAACAACTTGCCTCCAGCAGTTGTGAATGCTCCATCACTTTTAAGAAGATGTTAGATATCCATTTGTCTGAAGTGGTGTGGGGTTTCCTGCCGAAGCAGGGGGTTGGGCTAGAAGACGTTCAAGGTCCCTTCCAACTCAGTTATTCTAATTTCTATTCTAAATGGCAAAAAACTGTTAAAAAGGAGCATGTCCTCATGGAGAAAGAGATATGAGAGAGCTAAGGAGTTGGCCAATTAGAGGCATTTTACCCCAGCAAACCTGAAGTTGATGCTACCTAAAAATGATAAAATATATTGACAGTGGAACCAGTTCCATTCAGTGCTTCTGTACTGTATGAGATGAGCTTCTTCTTCATTGGATAGCGCAAGTTTTAACAACTGGCTAGATGACTAGGTTAAATATTTATCAAAGCTCACTCTGGTTTAACACAGTTTTTTGGTGAGGTATATTCAAACAATATGCCAGCTGATAGGCAGAATCAGCTGATTACCTCAACATGTTATTGTTGTTATTGTTATTGTTTGTAACTGTTTACAATGATTATTCAAGTGAAATCCTGGAATAATTACTTTGTAATAATTTTTCCAAATTTGTAGCTCTTCAGTTGTTGTTATTTTTTTGCTGGGGTGGGGGCAGGGAGGGACACTCATGTTTTACTATTAGGCCATCATATCTTTGAGGATTGAGAACTGAGATATTAATTAACATTAATATTTCATCATCACCGATACAATGTATATATTTTACATAAAGTATGTTTTCAGTGATACAAATGGAGGACTGAAAGTGATTAATTTATATATGTAGCTACTCCTATCCTTAAAAATGACAAAAATAAGTTATGCAAAAGCTAAAATATCAGACTAGAATTCTGAAGTCAAGGCCATAAGACCCCTCCCCTAAAATCCCAGTCTATAGGGAATTATTATTTGCAGACATTTTCCAATCAGTTGCCAGTGCATACGAAATAATGGAATCAGCTTAGCTAGTAAAATCCTCAGCACGTTTGCTCTTAATGCAGTAATGGAACAAGGTGAATGCATGAATAGGGAACCTGAGGGTCACAAGTATAGAAATAGATGATTATGGTAAGGCTATGGCTTGGGGAAAAAAGAACTTGGGAGGGGGGTTATTTACTAATTATGGAATAGGGTACTACATGTTACTCAAAATAAGGGCAAATCTGCTGATCGACATTGTAAATGCAAGCAAAGACATTGATTAATAGACATTGATTAGGTCATACGAGACCTAAGAGATGTTGATTTAAGGTAGACTTATGGGGAAATACCTATAAAAACTGAACTGTTACATGAGTGCTCTTTGCACAGACCTAGTGGTTGTGATCCCCTGTGTCCCTTTTCTGTGCAGAATAAAGCTTTTGCAAATCTCCATCTAGGTCTGTGATTTATTGGGCATTGCACAATGAACAGAACTACTTTATGGGACAACAATTTAATGAAGAAAATCTTATTACCTGACTTGTGAGAGACACTACATGGTACAAAGAATTAACAAATGAATACTAAACCATTTCAAATGTAACTTAAGCTTGTTTTGCAGGAAAAGTATGCGCCTAATGGGAAAAATGTATTTTATTGTTTGAGTGGAGTTCTTTTCTGTCTTAAAAAATGTATATGGAAACTGATGATTGTTTAAAAATGAATATAGGACAAAGGAAAGTCTCATATTTCAATTAAATCTCTGTTTATTTTGAGAGTTTTAAATTGTATGAGTTTGCTTAAAATAGTTTTAAATTAATACATTGGATATTGCTATAATATAATCAAAACACATTTTATTAGCAATGGATTTGTGTTTTCCTATTAATAGAAACTATTTTCAGTAACATTTTCCGTCATATATACTTCATCATTTATTTGCTACACACACACACACACACACACACACACACACACACACACACACACACAGAGCTTTATTATTATTCATTATTCTAAATCCAGATTTGATTGCATCCCACAAAATCACAACTCTGGTATTGTTTTCTACTAATTGTGCATTTTAATCTGAACACACACACATACAAATGAAGCATGATTTTTTTTACACATGATGGACTACAAGCTGCCAAGATACTGTACAAAGATGCAATATTTTTCTGTGAAATATTTTTCAGTAACTCATTCTTTCAGTTTGACTCTCTCTTCTTGTATTCTTCAATATAAGATAACCAATTCCCACAGCACTATTCCAACATTCCTTCCCATCTCATGGTTGAGTGGGTTGAGTGCATCTTAACATAATGAGAGTTAAAAGGGACCTTGGAGTTCTTCTAGTCCAACCCCTTGTTCAGGCAAGAAACCCTGTATCATTTCAGACAAGGGGTTGTCCAATCTCTTTTTAAAAACTTTCATTGTTGGAGCACCCACAACTTCTGAGGACACGCCATTCCACTAATTGATTGTTCTAATTTAGGAAATTTCTCCTTACTTCTAGGTTGGTTCTCTCCTTGATTGAGGGCCATCTATTTCTCTTGTTCTGCCTTTGGTGCTTTGGAACACTGCTATCATGTCACTGCTTCTCCATCTTTTCATTAAACTAGACATATCCAATTGCTACAATCATTCTTCATATGTTTTAGCTTCTAGTTCCCTAATCATCATTGTTGCTCTTCTCTATACTCTTTCTAGAGTCTCAGCATCAACCAAAACTGGATGCAGTTTGATTTTGTGATAGGAAGAATAAGTTACAATTTCTTCATCACCACTTAAAAAGAAAATCAGTAGTTGGTGAGACATAATCAATCTCAGTTTGAAGCATTCAAATGACAGTACTAAGCTAGGTCACCAAACTATCCCATATGAAATTGTGAGGGAACTTTCTTACATTTGCAGAAGTGTAAAGAACAGGAGTGAGAAATTTATAAAAGAAAAAGATGTGGCTTTATAACATATACATCTTTTAAAATTTGGCTGCCATTCTAGAAAGAACACAAAAATGAACAGTTTATTGGGTTCAGCATGTTTTCTGTGCTATTTTTTTCCTGTCCAAAAGACGTACTTTATTGCTGGTTGCTTTTTAAACTACAGAATTAGAAAATAAACTCTCAAAAATATGTCTGGGCTCTACTGCCTTCAAAATAGCTCAAAGTCATTCATAAATGGTTTTATAGGATCTCCAGGGAATAGTATATCAGACATACTTACTTTGTAATACTATTAAAGACTTAGTGTTCAATTCCTATCTGTACTTTATTCATTTTTCCAACAATCTGTACCAGAACTCTCTCTGACATGGAGAAGATAATCAGAAACAATATAATATGAAAGACTGGGGTGCTTTTTATGTTTGCTATGTTCTTTGTGTATTCCTGCTTTCTTTCAAATTAACTCTCCCCCCCCCCCAATCTAATCTGATTTTGAGGACAAAGACCTCCAAATCTAAAGAAGCAATTAAGCCCCAAGCCATTTAAGGAAGCCAGTCCTTAAATTTATTTACTTATTTATTTGCTAAAAAGCATCCTAAAATGCAATTGTTTCTTTTCATGGTTTCATTAAAGTCAAGGTTTAAATTTATATTTAAAACCACAAGAAGAAAACAAAGGAAAGATGACAGTTTAGTAAAGGTAACTCAGTACCTGCTTAATATTTCAAAACAGATCTGGCAATCCTTCAAGAAACCCCTCTGCTTATAAGTTAAGCTTCATGATTGATTAAATGTGTAGGGCCCTGCTGCTTTCTCTGATTTGCTTTGGATGACAGTGTAAATCCACAGGAGCCAGGTTCTGATCAAAATCACTTGCATAGATAATTTCCACCCACCCTTTGCTTTCAAAATCCCCATCAGTATTAGGCAAATTGTGTGTGTGTGTGTGTGTTTTAAACATCTATGTTTAAAAAACAAAGAAACTTGGCTTAGAATTTTTTTTTTAATGTTTCAAATATTTTATTTGTTACTCATTCTTTTCCAGCTCCTTCTTGTACTTGGATTACATTTGTGGACATGTATTTATGGAATTCCCATTGATGGTGGCCATAATTTGTACCATAGGTTATGTGTCTTGTAGTTGAAACTGACTTGCAGTAGTTTGTAAATAATATATTATATCAATGGTTAGAAATCATATTTATGAATTTAGAGAAAATTCTTGAAAAACATGGTTTTTTTTTCAAATACTCACCATTTGATAATATATCAAATAAATGATATATTTTTTCATTTTAACATGAGCCAAATTATTTCATTGCTACTGAAATTCAGCAGGGAAATATCTGCATTAAGGGCAAACAAATTGCTGAATTACTGTCAGTTTTAATTTATATCACAATCTATGTCCAACCTTCACTTTTGGATTATTAGAAATTCAGTTCATGTTAGAAAGGGGTATCAATATGCATGTAAGATACAAGTTTCACTGTTGTATATTTCATAGAAAAACAATTATTTGAAAATAATAATAAGTAACACTTACTTTCTGCAGGCTCTTTAGATTTTCTTCCACTGGAAGATTTCCTCAGTAGGCTTCGTCCTGAGGTAAAAAGGCTGGTTAATTCCTCCAGAGGACTTGTTGGTGTTCTAGAACGTGAAGTACTCTGTGATGATGACCCGTAGGTATTGACAGAGGCATTTATCATTTTCCCTCCTTCATGCAATATGTTTCTGGCAGTAGAATGAGGCACTGATGGAGAACTTCTTGAGAGACTTCCTGAATGTACAGAATCATAAGGAGGAGGTCTTTTGAGACTTAAAGGAGTAAGTGACCGACCCATACTCACGGGAGAGGGAGAGGCTGAGTGGCTTTTGGAATAGCCATGGGGAGACTGTGTTCTGTATAGGGTAGAAGGATGAGGAGGTGAAGAGGAGTGCCCTGGAGTACTAGTTCCATGAGAAGCTGTCTGGTCTTTCTCTAGTTTTTGATGACTTGGAGTATGAGGTGGCAATGAGGATGGAGAAGCTCCAGTTTGCTGTTTAATATAGCACACATTTTCCAACACGGGAAGCTTTGTGACTTCCAATGGTGTTAAAGGAGATTCATCAGAATTTGGGGAACATTGCACTGGTGCAGGTGGGAATACCAAGAGAGGTGGTCTATGAGAAAGCAAATTTGGAAATGGTGGTGGGATATCACAAATCACACCTTTGGGAGTGGATGGCACTGAGGACTTGGTGAAATCAAGGTCAGGCACTGTGGGAGTAGCACACTGAGAGGAACAGCTGTGATGGTCAAACTCACATGGACACTTTAAATCTTGGCCTCCATCCTCAAAGATGGGATATTTCATTTCTTCATATACTGCCTCATTTTGATCTTCCTCATCTTTTTTGAAGTCTCTTAATATATTCCCAACCATTTCAATATAAACTGGCTCTTCTTCCTCTGTATCCAGAGCAGGACTGCTGACTTGAGTCAAAGAAGCATCTCTACTTAGCACAGACTTTATGGAGCCATGCTTTTTGATATAAGTTTCATCAAAAGATGCACTTAGTTGAGTGTTTGGATTCCGCTTTGGCTTTGGGGGAGGAATCTTCTTTGTGTATTCATCACTGTGAGGCCTTGGCTTGGTGGATACTATAAGGCAAAGACAATACACATTAATCAGAAAATTAATAAAAATTGTGTATTTTCAAAATACTTGTTGGAAAATGCCTATCCTGTTTTGATGATTATGTAAATTCTCCAGAACTAACTTGTGTGCTGAAATATATATTGGAATTGGAATTGGAATTTGCTTTATTTGTATGCCGCCCTTTTCCCTGAGGGGACTCAGGGCGGCTCACAATTCAAGGGAGGGGGATAAACAAACAATTTACAGAGCAAAAAAGCATACACTATTAAAAACACAACAATCATACCATTCGGAGTGGGGCTGCAGGTCTTTAGACCCAAGCCTGCCGGAACAGCCAGGTTTTAAGGGCTGTGCGGAAGGCCTGGAGGGTGGTGAGG